CTATCTACTGTATCCTGTATATAACCTCGGACGTACACTCTATCTACTGTATCTCGTATATAACCTCGGACGTACACTCTATCTACTGTATCCTGTATATAACCTCGGACGTACACTCCATGTACTGTATCCTGTATATAACCTCGGACGTACACTCCATGTACTGTATCCTGTATATAACCTCGGACGTACACTCTATCTACTGTATCCTGTATATAACCTCGGACGTACACTCTATCTACTGTATCCTGTATATAAGCTCGGACGTACACTCTATCTACTGTATCCTGTATATAACCTCGGACGTACACTCTATCTACTGTATCCTGTATATAACCTCGGACGTACACTCTATCTACTGTATCCTGTATATAACCTCGGACGTACACTCTATCTACTGTATCCTGTATAAAACCTCGGACGTACACTCTTTCTACTGTATCCTGTATATAACCTGGGACGTACACTCTATCTACTATATCCTGTATATAACCTGAGACGTACACTCTATCTACTGTATCCTGTATATAACCTCGGACGTACACTCTATCTACTGTATCCTGTATATACCCTCGGACGTACGCTCTATCTACTGTATCTCGTATATAACCTCCGACGTACACTCTATCTACTGTATCCTGTATATAACCTGGGACGTACCCTCTATGTACTGTATCCTGTATATAACCTCGGACGTACACTATCTACTGTATCTGTATATAACCTCGGACGCACACTCTATCTACTGTATCCTGTATATAACCTCGGACGTACACTCTATGTACTGTATCCTGTATATAACCTCGTGACGTACACTCTATCTACTGTATCCTGTATATAACCTCGGACGTACACTCTATCTACTGTATCCTGTATATAACCTCGGACGTACACTCTATCTACTGTACCCTGTATATAACCTCGGACGTACACTCTATCTACTGTATCCTGTATATAACCTCGGACGTACACTCTATCTACTGTATCCTGTATATAACCTCGGACGTACGCTCTATCTACTGTACCCTGTATATAACCTTGGACGTACACTCTATCTACTGTATCCTGTATATAACCTCGGACGTACACTCTATCTACTGTATCCTGTATAAAACCTCGGACGTACACTCTTTCAACTGTATCCTGTATATAACCTGGGACGTACACTCTATCTACTATATCCTGTATATAACCTGGGACGTACACTCTATCTACTGTATCCTGTATATAACCTCGGACGTACACTCTATCTACTGTATCCTGTATATACCCTCGGACGTACGCTCTATCTACTGAATCTCGTATATAACCTCCGACGTACACTCTATCTACTGTATCCTGTATATAACCTGGGACGTACCCTCTATGTACTGTATCCTGTATATAACCTCGGACGTACACTATCTACTGTATCTGTATATAACCTCGGACGCACACTCTATCTACTGTATCCTGTATATAACCTCGGACGTACACTCTATCTACTGTACCCTGTATATAACCTCGTGACGTACACTCTATCTACTGTATCCTGTATATAACCTCGGACGTACACTCTATCTACTGTATCCTGTATATAACCTCGGACGTACACTCTATCTACTGTACCCTGTATATAACCTCGGACGTACACTCTATCTACTGTATCCTGTATATAACCTCGGACGTACACTCTATCTACTGTATCCTGTATATAACCTCGGACGTACGCGTTCTCTATCTACTGTACCCTGTATATAACCTTGGACGTACACTCTATCTACTGTATCCTGTATATAACCTCGGACGTACACTCTATCTACTGTATCCTGTATATAACCTCGGAGGTACACTCTATCTACTGTATCCTGTATATAACCTCCGACGTACACTCTATCTACTGTATCCTGTATATAACCTCGGACGTATACTCTATCTACTGTATCCTGTATATAACCTCGGACGTACACTCTATCTACTGTATCCTGTATATAACCTCGGACGTACACTCTATCTACTGAATCTCGTATATAACCTCGGACGTACCCTCTATGTACTGTATCCTGTAAATAACCTCGGACGTACACTCTATGTACTGTATCTCGTATATAACCTCGGACGTACACTCTATCTACTGTATCCTGTATAAAACCTCGGACGTACACTCTATCTACTGTATCCTGTATATAACCTCGGACATACCCTCTATCTACTGTATCCTGTATATAACCTCCGACGTACACTCTATCTACTGTATCCTGTATATAACCTCGGACGTACACTCTATCTACTGTATCCTGTATATAACCTCGGACGTACACTCTATCTACTGTATCCTGTATATGACCTCGGACGTACACTCTCTACTACTGTATCTCTGTATATAACCTCGGACGTACACTCTATCTACTGTATCCTGTATATAACCTCGGACGTACACTCTATCTACTGTATCCTGTATATAACCTCGGACGTATCTACTGTATCCTGTATATATCGGACGTACACTCTATCTACTGTATCCTGTATATAACCTCGGACGTACACTCTATCTACTGTATCCTGTATATAACCTCGGACGTACACTCTATCTACTGTATCCTGTATATAACCTCGGACGTACACTCTATCTACTGTATCCTGTATATAACCTCGGACGTACACTCTATCTACTGTATCCTGTATATAACCTCGGACGTACACTCTATCTACTGTATCCTGTATATAACCTCGGACGTACACTCTATCTACTGTATCCTGTATATAACCTCGGACGTACACTCTATCTACTGTATCCTGTATATAACCTCGGACGTACACTCTATCTACTGTATCCTGTATATAACCTGGGACGTACACTCTATCTACTGTATCCTGTATATAACCTCGGACGTACACTCTATCTACTGTATCCTGTATATAACCTCGGACGTACACTCTATCTACTGTATCTCGTATATAACCTCGGACGTACACTCTATCTACTGTATCCTGTATATAACCTCGGACATACCTCTATCTATACTGTATCCTGTATATAACCTCGGACGTACACTCTATCTACTGTATCCTGTATATAACCTCGGACGTACACTCTATCTACTGTATCCTGTATATAACCTCGGACGTACTGTATCCTGTATATAACCTCTGCTGTATCCTGTATATAACCTCGGACGTACACTCTATCTATCTCTGTATATAATCTACCTCGGACGTACGCTCACTCTATCTACTGTATCCTGTATATAACCTCGGACGTACACTCTATCTACTGTATCCTGTATATAACCTCGGACGTACACTCCTGTATGTATATAACCTACTGTATCCTGTATATAACCTCGGACGTACACTCTATCTACTGTATCCTGTATATAACCTCGGACGTACACTCTATCTACTGTATCCTGTATATAACCTCGGACGTACACTCTATCTACTGTATCCTGTATATAACCTCGGACGTACACTCTATCTACTGTATCCTGTATATAACCTCGGACGTACACTCTATCTACTGTATCCTGTATATAACCTCGGACGTACACTCTATCTACTGTATCCTGTATATAACCTCGGACGTACACTCTATCTACTGTATCCTGTATATAACCTCGGACGTACGCTCTATCTACTGTATCCTGTATATAACCTCGGACGTACACTCTATCTACTGTATCCCGTATATAACCTCGGACGTACGCTCTATCTACTGTATCATGTATATAACCTGGGACGTACACTATCTACTGTATCTGTATATAACCTCCGACGTACACTCTATCTACTGTATCCCGGATATAACCTCGGACGTACACTCTATTTACTGTATCCTGTATATAACCTCCGACGTACACTTTATCTACTGTATCCTGTATGTAACCTGAGACGTACGCTCTATCTACTGTATCCTGTATATAACCTCGGACGTACACTCTATCTACGGTATCTGTATATAACCTCGGACGTACGCTCTATCTACGGTATCTGTATATAACCTCGGACGTACACTCTATCTACGGTATCTGTATATAACCTCGGACGTACGCTCTATCTACGGTATCTGTATATAACCTCGAACGTTATGGCCATACTGGAGATGGTCATTGTACTGACAAGTACTGGAGATGGCCATTGTACTCACACAGTACTGGAGATGGTCATTGTACTCACACAGTACTGGAGATGGCCATTGTACTCACACAGTACTGGAGATAGCCATTGTACTCACACAGTACTGGAGATGACCATTGTACTGACAAGTACTGGAGGTGGTCATTGTATTCACACAGTACTGGAGATGGTCATTGTACTCACAAAGTACCGGAGATGGCCATTGTACTCACAAGTACTGGAGATGGTCATTGTACTCACACAGTACTGGAGATGGCAATTGTACTCACACAGTATTGGAGATGGTCATTGTACTCACACAGTACTGGAGATGGTCATTGTACTGACAAGTACTGGAGATGGCCATTGTACTCACACAGTACTGGAAATGGCCATTGTACTCACACAGTACTGGAGATGGTCATTGTACTCACACAGTATTGGAGATTGTCATTGTACACAGGCAGTAACTGGAGATGACCATTGTACTCACACAGTACTGGATATGGCCATTGTACTCACACAGTACTAGAGATGGCCTTCACTGACATGTTTTCAGAAGATAGAGGTGGTATTGAAAACATCTATCAAAATGCAATTAAAACTAGAATATGAACTTTCATAGAGTAAAGATCAAACTGTATGAACGTTCATTAAGTGTTTGGCCTTGGACCTGATCGAGTTCTTAGTTTCCGTGTTGACACTCTCGGTTTGATCTTCAGGATGAAGCATATTCATCAAAACCAAGATATTCTTGAGCGGGTTAGCAGTAAGCTCACCGAGTTATTCCAGTGAGTGTTGTTTAAGAACATGGTAGTCTTGTATGAGGACTTGTGCCCCATACATAACGGATATACTGTTTCCATAAGGAGCAATCATTGTTCAGAACTAACGTGTTCCTGGTGAACGTCAAGTGCATGATTACGCACGTAGCCACTAGACATAGAATTCAAGAAAGTACGATCCCGCGAAGAGTGCACCGCAATGTGCCATATCTTGAGGCAAAGTTGGGATGAGATTTACGTAATGATAATCTGTTAACATCAAAAGTATCATTTTTTGTCAAGAATGTTTGTAGACCCCTTGCCTTCCCCGTGTAGATGTCTCGCTTGCAGCACTGTGTGTTTAGACGAACTTCAGCTGGCTCGCCTTCAGACATCACAATCCAGTACTCGCAAACCTAGGACGGCAGCACTGGTTCATGAAAAGGTGTTTTTTTTAATGTATCCTTGTGCCTCATCAACAATGATTCGCGGTCGCTTCCTAAGGGGGGGGGGTATGAAAAGGGTCCGGTTTTTTTCAATCTCAAATGTTCACTTGAAGATATCAGATTGTTAACTCATTTCAAAACTCGTATGTTTTGGAGTTATAACAACACTAGATTATTCGTCTGTGATGTAAGTGTGCAAAGGTCTTGTTTTAGACGTTTTTACGAAGCCTTTATAAATGTTTGAACGTGAGAAAGTCTTTGACCCAGCAAGCTCGAATTATTCACCTTGGGTCATAGATAAGCTCATGGGCAGATTCATGTAGGAAGCTCTTCTCCTATTTCAGTTATACTTCCGTACTTAATCATAAGACCAATTTTATTAAGTATAAGATAGATAGCTGGCTAATTGTCAGACTTTCATGTCAATACATTGAAGTTTTCTGAAACTTTAACATGGCATATTTCCACTTCAGGTGTGCCCATTATCACTCCTGTGAAAGAGGTTTGTCCTGAGATTCAGACGTCGACCAAAAATCGCCTGAAACAAATAACAAAATCGGTACAGTAGTCACTGTGACCATGGTCTCATAATAGTGGGATGCTGTTAAAAGTATATTGTGGCACAACTATTCTGTTTGGGCATTTTTAATATTTTAAGTGGCGCGGTGCCTAGATGGGATGAAGATAAATTCAATGTGCTTTCGAAAGATTTGTATATATTATTTAGAAATTCCAAATATTCACAATCAAATGCAGCCCAGAACACAGTGTGTCCCTTCTGCCAGTTGTTGTGATACATCTGTTTGTTTGATCCAATTAGCAGTTTGAAGGTCACCTATATCTCAGGTTAGACTGTATGATGCATAGTTTGTTGTATTTACAGTTAGAATGCTGAACAGTTGGTAAAGCAATATAACCCATATCGTCATAGCTACAATACATACTCTATTGTCATTGACAGCATAGGCGGATCCAGAGGGGGGTGCAGGGGTGCGCACCCATTGAAGCTCTCGTGAAAGCGGGTGAAAATGAACTGTGCACCACCCCCCGCCCCCCTTTCTGAACTGTGTAAACCCACCACCACCAACAACACCACACCCCCAACTACCACCACCACACCTCAAAAAGCTGTATCCGCCCCTGGAAATGATATCATCAGAGTAGCGTTTGATGTTGAGTATGTGTAAACAAGTGTAGTTGGAGATAACGTTTGATGTTGAGTATATGTGAACAAGTGTAGTTGGAAATAACGTTTGATGTTGAGTATATGTGAACAAGTGTAGTTGGAAATAACGTTTGATGTTGAGTGTGTGTGAACAAGTGTAGTTGGAGATAACGTTTGATGTTGAGTATGTTTGAACAAGTGTAGTTGGAGATAACGTTTGATGTTGAGTATATGTGAACAAGTGTAGTTGGAGATAACGTTTGATGTTGAGTATATGTGAACAAGTGTAGTTGGAGATAACGTTTGATGTTGAGTATATGTGAACAAGTGTAGTTGGAGATAACGTTTGATGTTGAGTATATGTGAACAAGTGTAGTTGGAGATAACGTTTGATGTTGAGTATGTGTAAACAAGTGTAGTTGGAGATAACGTTTGATGTTGAGTATATGTGAACAAGTGTAGTTGGAGATAACGTTTGATGTTGAGTATGTGTGAACAAGTGTAGTTGGATATAACGTTTGATGTTGAGTATGTGTAAACAAGTGTAGTTGGAGATAACGTTTGATGTTGAGTATATGTGAACAAGTGTAGTTGGAGATAACGTTTGATGTTGAGTATGTGTGAACAAGTGTAGTTGGAGATAACAAGTGGAGATAACGTTGATGTTGAGTATATGAACAAGTGTAACGTTGATGTTGAGTATATGTGAACAAGTGTAGTTGGAGATAACGTTTGATGTTGAGTATATGTGAACAAGTGTAGTTGGAGATAACGTTTGATGTTGAGTATGTGTGAACAAGTGTAGTTGGAGATAACGTTTGATGTTGAGTATGTTTGAACAAGTGTAGTTGGAGATAACGTTTGATGTTGAGTATGTGTGAACAAGTGTAGTTGGAGATAACGTTTGATGTTGAGTATATGTGAACAAGTGTAGATGGAAATAACGTTTGATGTTGAGTATGTTTGAAAAGTGTAGTTGGAGATAACGTTTGATGTTGAGTATGTGTGAACAAGTGTAGTTGGAAATAACGTTTGATGATGAGTATGTGTGAACAAGTGTAGATGGAGATGGACCTAATCGTCATTCAGTGCGTGTGAATATTGTTTTACACCCCACCTATATTCCGCTTTCAGTGTACACGAACTTGCAGTAATAGTCACTTTTATCATTGGTGTAGTCTCAGCTCAGTAACTTATTCACTGGAAGCAGGAACACCTATGTCCATGTGTCAAAGTAGATGACGTAACTCTCCCATGGCTTAACTCACCTATCACACCTGGTGTACTTTCTGAACTACGTAATTGATGGACAATACCTTGTGACTATTTGCACATAAACTTCTTGGAATATGCGAGCGTGTATGAATATGTTTTAGACCATGCACCAATACTCCAAGCGTAGATTTGTCGGGTGGATGTAATTCTTTTCATAGGCTTCAATAGTTTACATGTTCGATATTCGATTGTCTTGTTGAGGGTCTAAAGATATAACATATGTTATGTTTAGGATTACACTTTGTCTACAACGTTACTTTCCAAATGCTTAGTGTAGAAACGTCTTCATTTCCCAGATTTGAGACGTTCCTTGTGTGCATGTATGTAAGGAGAGTCTATTCCCGTCCTCCAAACTGATACACTTGTCCACTGCAACCTGTCGTATCGTCATCGCCTGCACAAAACAAACAGACAACGTGTTATTCCTGGAGTCACTATCGGAAAACAACACATACAGCAAGCTACGGAGGTAAAGCATACTGCTATATAAGCCTCATACCACAAATTTGATGACTGCACTCTCAGTATGTTCACGTGTAATGATGGTGACACTGACTGAAGGAGTGTAATGTCGTCTCCTGTCTAGATGTGTCTGCAATATTGCTCAGGGCGGCGTTAATCTACAATCATCCACCGATGGGGAAATTCGTCTTAGTTCAGCTTTATTATTGTGATGTAGTTGTAGTTCTTGCACATACCGGGGTGTATTGCCACTGTTGTCGCTTCTGTCCTTTCAAACACGCCTCTGATGTCACCACGCCGTCTTTCAATGTCAGACAGGACCACGTCTGATTACCGTTCAAAACCTCTCCAAGCAGCCGACCTGCAGCCTCTTTGTACCACACCTTCTGAAGGACAACGAGCGTATGTCATCTTGCAGTTGAAATACGTCATTGCCAATATGTCATGTACCACACCTTTGACAGGACAACACAGGTATGTCGTATACCACGCCCTCAACAGGACAACACAGGTACGTCATATACTACACATTCAATATGACAACACAGGTACGTCATTTATCACACCTTCAATACCACAACACAGGTACGTCATATACCACACCTTCAAAAGAACAACACAGGTACGTCATGTACCACACCTTCAATACCACAACACAAGTACGTCATGTACCACACCTTCATTCGGACAACATAGGTACGTTATGTACCACACCTTCAATGGGACTACATAGGTACGTTATATATCATACCTTCTGTAGCATACCGTGTACCACACCTGAATGGCATGTAACATGCTTGTACTTACTTCATTCATCACCATCTATAGAAGCTTCTTTAACGCGACCACACACATAAATCAATGTTGAAAGATTCCCTCCCCAAGGGGGCTGTGGAATGACGCAATATACGTCAAAACAGCCTCGAGTTAAAGACACCTTCAGAACGACCTGGGGCGGTAGGGTAGCCTAGTGGTTAAAGCGTTGGCTCGCCACGCCGAAGACCCGGGTTCGATTCCCCACATGGGTACAATGTGAGAAGCCAATTTCTGGTGTCCCCCGCCGTGATATTGCTGGAATATTGCTAAAAGCGGCGTAAAACTAAACTCACACACTCACTCAGAACGATCTGTTGTGACCTTGACCTTGAAATTGCCATTGCCAGGCATGACTCGGGTTAACCAAACACGATCACCTGAGGGTGCTACACGGTGTGGACGAAAAACCAAGTTGTCGGTGACATGAAATGTTTGCCCTGCAAAGTGGTGTTCGAACCTGGAAAATTCTTCTTAATTCTGATCCTCGATCTGTAAACTCTGTTCCATGATTTTGAAGGTATAGTATGAAGGTATAAAGATCTACCCCTGATATAACAACTTTGATATACAAGTATATCTGGCAGAATAGTCTTGTTTACATAATATTGAGAGCTTTGACAGTGATCTTGCTCGTTTCCTCACAAAAATTCATAATTATCCAACATGTCAAATTTGTGGACTTCCTTTTACTTTGACGAAACCAATTAAAGTTAACAAATCAAATGTACAAAGCATGCAAAGTTTCTAATATTACCTGGTGCCTCATGAACCCATCGCAGGCCCCAACCAGGACTTCCGGTTTGGAGAAGGAGTGTGCAAGGCAAACAGTACTGGTATGTTTATGGCGTATCTGAAAGAGAAATGGGTTATGTGAACATGTATAACACATCTCACAGCTGACATCCACAAAGTGAACCACTGTTTCATGCGCTAACACCATGCTATAACCAGGGTCTGGCGTGGCAAATAGTAATGTCTTAATGTCTGAGTACCTTTAGAGTGAGGCCTGACATCGGAAATGGGCTGTACCCATTGTCCCCATGAGGGGATTCGAACCTGGACCTCGAGATGTAACCACTAGCTTACGCCACCACTCGAGTTCATCTAGACCACCAAGCCCATGTTGTATTGTGGAAATGTAGCGGTGTACGTGTATGGTATACATTACCTCCTGCAATTGGAGGGCATCAGTCGGAGCGTACAGATCGGTGGCCACGTTGCGCATGTACCAGTCAAAGTCGTAACACTTCAACCTCTGTCGTAGCGATACTCTGTCAGAAACATTTCCAAAGTTGAGCTGTGGGCACAAAGAAAAGATATCATCGGAAACAACGCCAGTGTTAACATTATTTAATTACTAACTACGATACATGATAATACAGGGCAAATGCGTTGAGAAGTTCTTATTGTTACTCGACAAGGGGAAGCGTCAAACTTACATTTAAAGGTTGGAGGGTTTCAAATATTTTACGACTCTTCATTTATTTGACCGGGAATTTCTACGCTGCTTGCACCACCTTCTTCCTTCGCGCTGGTGATTACAAAAATAATGTAATTCTAATTACTAATGAACACTGATTCTGTATATACGCATTACCAAACTCCGCATAACTAACTATGAATGGAATAATCTGGGCTGATAACTGGTGGGGCATCTTGGTACTCACGACCAATGGATGGTAAAGGGATGCAACCCAGAACTGTTCTCAAGACAAACATCAGTACTAATAACGGAGACAGGGCTAACTTCCTGACGCATTCACCATTTGATTATCTTCGATGAAATTGTTGAAAAAGAAGTATTTATACTGGTCCATCCACACGTGGGCTACCCTCATGGCGTTCGTCGTAACGGTGTCGTAGAAGTTGTTGCCCAAATTAGGGTTGATGTGTCTGAACACATGCGCAATGCCTGAGCATGGCAAAACCTCGATTGTACCGTTGCACATCCACACCTGCAACAAACATAATCAGCAGTACATCCACATAATCAGTAGTAGTTACACATCCACACATGCAACAAACACAATCAGCAGTACAATCACATAATCAGTAGTAGTTACACATCCATACCTGCAACAAACATAATCAGCAGTACATCTACATAATCAGTAGTAGTTACACATCCACACATGCACCAAACACAATCAGCAGTACAATCACATAATCAGTAGTAGTTACACATCCATACCTGCAACAAACATAATCAGCAGTACAATCACATAATCAGTAGTAGTTACACATCCACACATACACCAAACACAATCAGCAGTACAATCACATAATCAGTAGTAGTTACACATCCATACCTGCAACAAACATAATCAGCAGTACATCCACATAATCAGTAGTAGTTACACATCCACACATGCACCAAACACAATCAGCAGTACAATCACATAATCAGTAGTAGTTACACTTCCACACCTGCAACAAACACAATCAGCAGAACAATCACATAATCAGTAGTAGTTGCAACAAACACATCCATACCTGCAACAAACACAATCAGCAGTACATCCACATAATCAGTAGTAGTTACACATCCACACATGCAACAAACACAATCAGCAGTACAATCACATAATCAGTAGTAGTTACACTTCCACACCTGCAACAAACACAATCAGCAGAACAATCACATAATCAGTAGTAGTTACACATCCACACCTGCAACAAACACAATCAGCAGAACAATAACATAATCAGTAGTAGTTACACACATCCACACCTGCAACAAACACAATCACAATCAATACAATGCCAAACACAATCACATAATCAGTAGTAGTTACACATCCACACCTGCAACAAACACAATCAGCAGAACAATCACATAATCAGTAGTAGTTACACATCCACACCTGCAACAAACACAATCAGCAGTACAATCACATAATCAGTAGTAGTTACACATCCACACCTGCAACAAACACAATCAGCAGTACAATCACATAATCAGTAGTAGTTACACATCCACACCTGCAACAAACACAATCAGCAGTACATCCACATAATCAGTAGTAGTTACACATCCACACCTGCAACAAACACAATCAGCAGTAATCACATAATCAGTAGTAGTTACACATCCACACCTGCAACAAACACAATCAGCATAATCATAATCAGTAGTAGTTACACATCCACACCTGCAACAAACACAATCAGCAGAACAATCAGCAGTACAATCACATAATCAGTAGTAGTTACACATCCACACCCTGCAACAAACACAATCAGCAGTACAATCACATAATCAGTAGTAGTTACACATCCACACCTGCAACAAACACAATCAGCAGTACAGTAGTATACACACATAATCAGTAGTAGTTACACATCCACACCTGCAACAAACACAATCAGCAGTACAATCACATAATCAGTAGTAGTTACACATCCACACCTGCAACAAACACAATCAGCAGTACAATAACATAATCAGTAGTAGTTACACATCCACACCTGCAACAAACACAATCAGCAGTACAATCACATAATCAGTAGTAGTTACACTTCCATACCTGCATAGAACACATTTAATGATTTCACAGGTATGCCCCTCGTTATGACCTTGATGTGAAACATAAAGCTGACAAAACAAAGCTATTTACTTCAAATACATCGCAGTCACATGACCGAATAGCTTCTTGTTTGTTTCAGTTGAGGCCCAGTCAAATATACCTTCCTGTGTCCGAGTAGTATACCTCTCAGACGCCTAAATACTGTGTGCTTTCAAACTCAGACATGGCGAATAGATCCCTCCTAATAGGACGTCCAACAAAACATATCATTCATCCATGCTTTTAGAATCATATGGTTTATATGAAACATAAATGTACCTTAAACGACAGTTCTGTGTTTTCGCTTCCCCATGTCTTGAGTCCCGGGTCATACCCTCCCAAATGGTGGAAGTATCGTCTGCTTATGCTGAATATTCCACCGGGCATTGTGGCGGATCTGGCAACACACTACCTCTTTATTAATCTGTCTGAAAGTCGATGTAAGTATTTTACCAACAATATCCATTAAAAGTTATGCTTTTGCTTCCTAACTGTATTCATATTATGAGGATTACTGACACGGGATGCAAGTATTCAGCTGTGTATCATGTGCTGCTGTGTTGTCTTGTGCTTAGAGCTCAGGTCACAAATCAGTCTAAGTTGAGCAACGTTGGGCGCGGTGAGTCTTTGGATGAGTGACCGTGTTTGGTAGCTCGACTCCCGAGAGTTTCTAGGACTTCAGTCCTGCCCCACAACGAAGCACATGTTATACATATGGTCTCACCTTAGGCAAGTGAGTTTGATCACAATTGCCTCTGTTCACCCAGCAGAAAGTCATGTGACTATAAAACATTCTAACGCCTCACAGGCAGCTTGTGATATCCGGGGTGATCGTAGACTTTCCGAAGTACGTCCACTGTCTGTGTTGTATATACCTCATCAGGTTAACTTTAGTACGTCCACTGTCAATGTTGTACATACCTCATGAAGTTAACTGTAGTACGTCCACTGTCTGTGTTGTATATCCCTCATGAAGTTAACTATAGTACGTCAGCTGTCTGTGTTGTACATACCTCATGAGGTTAACTGTAGTACGTCCACTGTCTGTGTTGTACATACCTCATGAAGTTAACTATAGTACGTCCACTATGTGTGTTGTACATACCTCATGAAGTTAACTATAGTAAGTCCACTGTCTGTGTTGTATATACCTCATGAAGTTAACTGTAGTACGTCCACTGTCTGAGTTGTATATACCTCATGAAGTTAACTGTAGTACGTCCACTGTCTATGTTGTACATACCTCATCAGGTTAACTATAGTACGTCCACTGTCTGTGTTGTACATACCTCATGAGGTTAACTGTAGTACGTCCACTGTCTATGTTGTACATACCTCATGAGGTTAACTGTAGTACGTCCACTGTCTGTGTTGTATATACCTCATCAGGTTAACTATAGTACGTCCACTGTCTGTGTTGTACATACCTCATGAGGTTAACTGTAGTACGTCGACTGTCTATGTTGTACATACCTCATCAGGTTAACTATAGTACGTCCACTGTCTGTGTTGTATATACCTCATGAAGTTAACTGTAGTACGTCCACTGTCTGTGTTGTACATACCTCATGAGGTTAACTGTAGTACGTCCACTGTCTGTGTTGTATATACCTCATCAAGTTAACTATAGTACGTCCACTGTCTGTGTTGTATATACCTCCTGAAGTTAACTGTAGTACGTCCACTGTCTGTGTTGTACATACCTCATGAGGTTAACTATAGTACGCCCACTATGTGTGTTGTACATACCTCATGAGGTTAACTGTAGTACGTCCACTGTCTGTGTTGTACATACCTCATGAGGTTAACTATAGTACGTCCACTGTCTGTGTTGTACATACCTCATGAGGTTAACTGTAGTACGTCCACTGTCTGTGTTGTACATACCTCATGAAGTTAACTATAGTACGTCCACTGTCTATATTGTACATACCTCATGAGGTTAACTGTAGTACGTCCACTGTCTGTGTTGTACATACCTCATGAAGTTAACTATAGTACGTCCACTGTCTATGTTGTACATACCTCATGAAGTTAACTGAAGTACGTCCACTGTCTGTGTTGTACATACCTCATGAAGGTAACTATAGTACGTCCACTGTCTGTGTTGTACATACCTCATGAGGTTAACTATAGTACGTCCACTGTCTGTGTTGTACATACCTAATGAGGTTAACTGTAGTACGTCCACTGTCTGTGTTGTACATACCTTATGAGGTTAACTGTAGTACGTCCACTGTCTGTGTTGTACATACCTCATGAGGTTAACTATAGTACGTCCACTGTCTGTGTTGTACATACCTAATGAGGTTAACTATAGTACGTCCACTGTCTGTGTTGTACATACCTCATGAGGTTAACTGAAGTACGTCCACTGTCTGTGTTGTACATACCTCATGAGGTTAACTATAGTACGTCCACTGTCTGTGTTGTATATACCTCATGAAGTTAACTATAGTACGTCCACTGTCTATGTTGTACATACCTCATCAGGTTAACTATAGTACGTCCACTGTCTGTGTTGTACATACCTCATGAGGTTAACTATAGTACGTCCACTGTCTGTGTTGTATATACCTCATGAAGTTAACTGTAGTACGTCCACTGTCTGTGTTGTACATACCTCATGAGGTTAACTGTAGTACGTCAACTGTCTGTGTTGTACATACCTCATGAGGTTAACTGTAGTACGTCCACTGTCTGTGTTGTACATACCTCATGAGGTTAACTATAGTACGTCCACTGTCTATGTTGTACATACCTCATGAAGTTAACTGTAGTACGTCCACTGTCTGTGTTGTACATACCTCATGAAGTTAACTATAGTACGTCCACTGTCTGTGTTGTACATACCTCATGACGTTAACTGTGGTACGTCCACTATGTGTGTTGTACATACCTCATGAAGTTAACTGTAGTACGTCCACTATGTGTGTTGTACATACCTCATGAAGTTAACTATAGTACGTCCACTATGTGTGTTGTATATACCTCATGAAGTTAACTGTAGTACGTCCACTACGTGTGTTGTACATACCTCATGACGTTAACTATAGTACGTCCACTATGTGTGTTGTACATACCTCATGAGGTTAAGTGTAGTACGTCCACCATGTGTGTTGTACATACCTCATGAAGTTAACTGTAGTACGTCCACTATGTGTGTTGTTCATACCTCATGAAGTTAACTGTAGTACGTCCACTAGGTGTGTTGTACATACCTCATGAAGTTAACTATAGTACGTCCACTATGTGTGTTGTACATACCTCATGAGGTTAACTGTAGTACGTCCACTATGTGTGTTGTACATACCTCATAAAGTTAACTATAGTACGTCCACTGTCTGTGTTGTACATACCTCATGAAGTTAACTATAGTACGTCAACTGTCTGTGTTGTACATACCTCATGAAGTTAACTATAGTACGTCCACTGTCTGTGTTGTACATACCTCATGAGGTTAACTGTAGTACGTCCACTGTCTGTGTTGTACATACCTCATGAGGTTAACTGCAGTACGTCCACTGTCTGTGTTGTAAATACCTCATGAAGTTAACTATAGTACGTCCACTGTCTGTGTTGTACATACCTCATGAGGTTAACTGTAGTACGTCCACTGTCTGTGTTGTATATACCTCATCAAGTTAACTATAGTACGTCCACTGTCTGTGTTGTATATACCTCATGAAGTTAACTGTAGTACGTCCACTGTCTGTGTTGTACATACCTCATGAGGTTAACTATAGTACGTCCACTATGTGTGTTGTATATACCTCATGAGGTTAACTGTAGTACGTCCACTGTCTGTGTTATACATACGTCATGAGGTTAATTGTAGTACGTCCACTGTCTGTGTTGTACATACCTCATGAGGTTAACTGTAGTACGTCCACTGTCTGTGTTGTACATACCTCATGAAGTTAACTATAGTACGTCCACTGTCTATATTGTACATACCTCATGAGGTTAACTGTAGTACGTCCACTGTCTGTGTTGTACATACCTCATGACGTTAACTGTAGTACGTCCACTGTCTGTGTTGTACATACCTCATGAGGTTAACTATAGTACGTCCACTATGTGTGTTGTACATACCTCATGAGGTTAACTGTAGTACGTCCACTGTCTGTGTTGTACATACCTCATGAGGTTAACTGTAGTACGTCCACTGTCTGTGTTGTACATACCTCATGAGGTTAACTGTAGTACGTCCACTGTCTGTGTTGTACATACCTCATGAAGTTAACTATAGTACGTCCACTGTCTATATTGTACATACCTCATGAGGTTAACTGTAGTACGTCCACTGTCTGTGTTGTACATACCTCATGAAGTTAACTGTAGTACGTCCACTGTCTGTGTTGTACATACCTCATGAGGTTAACTGTAGTACGTCCACTGTCTGTGTTGTACATACCTCATGAAGTTAACTATAGTACGTCCACTGTCTATGTTGTACATACCTCATGAAGTTAACTGTAGTACGTCCACTGTCTGTGTTGTACATACCTCATGAAGTTAACTAAAGTACGTCCACTGTCTGTGTTGTACATACCTCATGAGGTTAACTATAGTACGTCCACTGTCTGTGTTGTACATACCTAATGAGGTTAACTGTAGTACGTCCACTGTCTGTGTTGTACATACCTTATGAGGTTAACTGTAGTACGTCCACTGTCTGTGTTGTACATACCTCATGAGGTTAACTATAGTACGTCCACTGTCTGTGTTGTACATACCTCATGAGGTTAACTGTAGTACGTCAACTGTCTGTGTTGTACATACCTCATGAGGTTAACTGTAGTACGTCCACTGTCTGTGTTGTACATACCTCATGAAGTTAACTATAGTACGTCCACTGTCTATGTTGTACATACCTCATGAAGTTAACTGTAGTACGTCCACTGTCTGTGTTGTACATACCTCATGAAGTTAACTATAGTACGTCCACTGTCTGTGTTGTACATACCTCATGAAGATAACTGTGGTACGTCCACTATGTGTGTTGTACATACCTCATGAAGTTAACTGTAGTACGTCCACTATGTGTGTTGTACATACCTCATGAAGTTAACTATAGTACGTCCACTATGTGTGTTGTACATACCTCATGAAGTTAACTGTAGTACGTCCACTGTCTGTGTTGTACATACCTCATGAAGTTAACTGTAGTACGTCCACTATGTGTGTTGTACATACCTCATGAAGTTAACTATAGTACGTCCACTATGTGTGTTGTACATACCTCATGAAGTTAACTGTAGTACGTCCACTATGTGTGTTGTACATACCTCATGAAGCTAACTTTAGTACGTCCACTGTCTGTGTTGTACATACCTCATGAAGTTAACTATAGTACGTCCACTGTCTGTGTTGTACATACCTCATGAAGTTAAC